TGTTCCAGCTGCGGGATGTTCCAGCTGGATGATGTTTCAGCTGAATGACGTTCCAGCTGCATGTTGTTCCAGCTGCATGTTGTTCCAGCTGCATGATGTTCCAGCTGCATGTTGTTCCTGCTGCGGGATGTTCCAGCTGCATGATGTTCCAGATGCATGTTGTTCCAGCTGCATTATGTTCCAGCTGCATAATGTTCCAGCTGCATGTTGTTCCAGATACATGTTGTTCCAGCTGCACGATTTTCCAGCTGAATGATGTTTTAGTTGCTGCAGAAACATTTACCGCCAGTTTTTTTTGCAAGCTCATGACATTCGTCCAATCGAGCCTTACTTATGGCAATATTCGTCACAAGTGACACCCCACAATCTTATCACCTCACAATCTTATAACGAGGGTCTCTCTCGCCCTGCGTATCAAAACGACCTCACCAAAAACATTAGAAAAAATTGCTTAAATTTTTTCTAAGTTAATGTTGTATTTGATTGTATTCATGTTTAAACTGGTGCTTTCGTTCACTTCATTGCCATGCCAATTTAACCAGCAATGAGAACCTTTTTTGGTCGAAGGAAATGGTATAAATATTGGATTGGAGAAAGTAATCATCATTTGATCAATGGAATGTCTAAAAGTTTAATGATATAATCTATTTCTTACCGTTTTTCTAACCGTGTAAAATTTTTGGCTGAGAAGAAGTTTATATATTTTATTAGAAGTTTATACTATTTTCGACGGTTTGCGATGGATCACAAGGTTAAATTCTCGACACGACATCAGCGAGACGCCGTCGAGAGGCAATAAAATTTTTCTTGCGATCGAGGTCAGATGACCTCGACAATCGAGGTCAGATGACCTTACTCATATACTCATTTAATCTAAGAAAATGTTCTGCATACCTTTTCAATGTTAAATAGGAAGTAAAGAACGGAAATCGCCTTTTTTCCTCTACTAAAAACTGGACAAGAATTTAATTTTAGACCTCTCGAGTCGTAGCTTTTGCGCCTGGCAGCGGCTTTGGCTGCTCCAAGGAGCTCATGCCGTTATTCATGCCCTTATTCATGCCCTTATTCATGCCGTTATTCATGCCCTTATTCATGCCGTTATTTCAACGCTCGTACGTTGAGAAGATCGGGCAGAAGCGTTACTATTTATGTGCGCTCAATAAAGTGTTCTTGGCCCTGGTCATGTTGCCCAGAAGTGATGGTTATGCAAGTATTCGAGGTATTGGATTCTATATTCAAAATATTACGTGGAAATTTCAGAGAACGAAAGCTGTTGACCTGAGGTTACGCAAAATAATTTCTTTAGATAATTTGCCTCTCATACAGCCCAGCAAGAGGCGCCATTGAAAGTTGTCCCAGGGATTTTCTTGCGCTGAACTCTTGTAAAAACATCGGCGAAGAATCACGTATTGACCTCCACCTTATAACAAGGCATTCACCTCGCAGCATCGAATGAATCCTTGGCAACAGTCTTTACATTTATTTATTTATTATTTATATTCAAATACAAATTTATTCTTTATATTCGACTTCATATCGGTATATTGAATTTGCGAGCGCCTCAACCTCAATTACTTTACCCTCACAATTCACCTCGCAGTATCGAATGAATATATGGCAAACACCTGTAAATTTATCCGCTTGTTCTGCGGTAATGCTGTTTGGTAAGCCGAAATGTTTCATTTAGTTGTACGAAAAATTACATACATATTTATGAGCATTCGTTGCGGCATTTCCGTACAAGTTGGTTATTAAACAATCATCTCGTGCAGTAGCATAGGTTTAATTAAGTCACTGATGAATCATGTTTAAAGCACTTTAATTCTCCACCCTATTATACGAACACATAAAATGATCAATAAAGAATTATGTTAACACTTTGACACTTCACTGTTTTTATTTGGTTGCTTCGCTTTTGAGACTAACTTTTGATTTGAGTCTTGGTTAGAGTCTATTGATTTGAGGCTTTTCTAAAAGATACAAATTGAGTAGATAAATAATGGTAAGCTAAAAATTAAACGTATTCCTAAATATATAACCTAAATATCCACGCAATTTGTTTACATCAAATCTATTCACATATATATATACACATCAATACACATCCCAACGTAGCACCCATGCACCGTCGCTCCGGCTTTCCACGCAGCAATAATCATCGAACCTTATATAGCATTTCGCACATTTATTCCGGAGAACTCTGAACTAAAATCACAAACAAAATTTAGAATAATATACCATTTTGGAACAAATATTACCGCATCGCATTACAATAAAAATAACAAACGATTTCTATCCTCTACAAGGTGTATATGTGGGAACCAATAAATACCTACGTGACAAACCCTTGTAAATTCAAAGTATCGGTGAATTAAAACAGATTGACACAAACAAACCAAATATGAAGGCCTTGTGTCAATTTTGAAACATCGGTAACTCGTCGGTTTAAGCTTTAATTGAATAAAATGAATTCCCTATGAGGCCTTATTTATTATCGTGGAAGATACTGTATCTGATGAATTTCTCTGAGTAAATCTCGAGTGTGAAGCTGTTGAGTTTTCTGAAAATCCCATGAACGGTTGACATTGGACGAATTTTAGTAACATGCTAACAAAAGTAACTAGTTATCCTGCATACCATTTTAATTTCACGAAAATATGCTTAATTTTTATGAAAAAGCACTTCTATAATATGAGAAATTATTGAGAAGATGGTGACACAAAAAAAAAATAAAAATAAAGTGAACAAACGTCGACACAAACATGTGCATTCGGTAGGTAGTAATTTATTGCATCAAGGTTGGAATATCAGGATTAAATGGGTCACATAAAAGAAAAAATCGAGTCGTACAATTGTAAAAAATTGCCTCTATATAGCCAGGCCAGTTTTCAAAGTTTCCAAGTTTTCAAGTTTCAAAGACTTCATTAGGTTAAATTTGACCCACTAGTAACAATTAAAGAGATTAAGTGAGTCTCTAATAATTTATAAAAATAATAATAATTAACCCGAGTCATTTAACGACATTCGTGGTGAGAATCAATGCAAGTTCATTGCTTGTTCAATATCCACTAATTCCTGTAAGTGCAGTGCTGAAAAAGATTTACAAGTTATCTATTAATTGGCAATTAAATAGTAATATTTTCAGCAATTTATAAGAGAAATATTTTTACTATAATTTAATTGAAGTGCATATTTTTATTAGGGGATATTGGGGTTTAAAGGAAAGTTGCAGTAAACTTGTAGCGTATGCAAAAATGCAGTTCATAATGCTGGCATAATTAATGAAATGAAATTAGTCGCTTATAGCCTCATTAGTATCGACCAAGTAAGTGATCACCGAAACTAGGGAAGTAAGTGATCACCGCACAAAATGTGTTCATCCCTTATATTTTATCTTCCAGTCTCCACCTTTCCCTTCTCTTCCTTCTCTACCACCCACTCGAATGACTCGCTCTTATTTCTTTTCCCCATTCTTCCTGATCTTTCTTCCGTGTTCCCACTCTTCCTCTCTCACTCTCTTCCTGGTCGATATATCGGCATGTCCTCGACCGCTGCCACCTGCTGGTGTGGCAGCTGCCACCTGCTGGTTTAGCAGCTACCACCTGCTGGTGTAGCAGCTACCACCTGCTGGTGTAGCAGCTACCACCTGCTGGTGTAGCAGCTGCAACCTGCTGGTGTAGCAGCTGCCACCTGCTGGTGTAGCAGCTGCCACCTGCTGGTGTAGCAGCTGCAACCTGCTGGTGTAGCAGCTGCAACCTGCTGGTGTAGCAGCAGCTACACCACGAGACTGGCGATCTGAACGAGACTTGATACATTGCCTGCATTCAGGATCTGTGAATACATTTTTATTGTTACTTATATATCAGAAATAAATGAAAACTAATTTCGCTTATCTGCACCAATCACTCAGTAATTGCTTGGGCTCGCTAAGCACACGTCACGCTTTAAGAGCTCACTTCAAATTGTTAGCAAAGCTTAAATTCCTCCACTTTCATTTAATTTTATTTGAAAATTTTCTGAACAGTGTTGATTTGAACGCGTTTTGTCGGAAATATTAATACCTGGAATAAGGGTTAAGTTTCTGAAAACGTGGAAATACAGCTGTTTCACCTAAATATGCTGTTTATTGTATAATTCAGGGATTTGTATATGACATTCGGTCACCTGAGTTTTATATAATATTCGGTGTAATTGTTACACAAACTTCGCTGTATCATGTCACGCAATAAATGTGTAACATAAAAAACGTGTGTACGGTATAGTCTCAGCTTTTATTTGATCTTCATTTAATACGTTGATGCCTCAAGCTACTCTATATATTAAAAAAAATTATGTGACACGTACGTTATTCTATCATGCTACGCCATCCATTTTCAACCCAAAATGCTTCTGTGTCATGCCACGTTATGCCTTTATAACGAGATAAACTGGTAATTTTCATACTCATATTTTGTGACATACCTTATGCAAAAATGTCACGTGTTATGCTATCATCTTCGTTTTTTTCCTTTCACCGTTTATTTGCGTGTGCTTACGGCAGATTAAGACATGACTAACGAGACTCGTTCCATTTTCGGTATATTTACGTGTTCTTACGACAGATTAAGACACGACTCTCAAGTCCCGTTCCATTACCGGTATATTTGCGTGTGCTCACGTGGCAGGGGCAGCTGTGCCGCGACGGTGGTGCTGGTGAGCGCCCTGCTGCTGGGGGGCTACAGGGTGAGCGCCCAGACGAGCAACACGGAGCCTGTCTTCTTCAACATCGGCGGCATCCTGTCGGACAACGCCTCCGACGCTCACTTCAATTGATTCTTGCGAAAAAAAGTTACATAAATGTGTGGTTACTAGCGTGACTTGTCTTTTGGAGCTGGTATCAAAGTACCAGGTCCAATTAATGTATATTAATTGGACCGCTTATACATTAATTAATCTCATTAATGTATAAGCGGTAATTTCATCTAGGTTTTCATTAATTTTAACGCCAAGCAGGCATTAGGATGGAGACGCACGAGCTAAACGTCTATATTTCAATAAAAAGCTAAAATCACCACAAAAATTACCCTTTTTCATTTTTTATATAATGTTTGAACAAACAATTTGCTGTTCTGATGATAGTAAAAAATAACTAATGTATTAATATGTACAAATATTTATAAAATGTTTATGTATTATTATATATAAAAAATTAAAATTCCACATCGATTGTCATTGTGTTATTTGTATCACAAGTCCCGTAGCAATGTCGCGACGTGTATTTCAGCTACCTTCATTGTCATCTTTGTTCGCTGAATATTTTCGTAATAGTAACGTCTTTTAATCCTGCGTCTCGTTCAAACACAGGTCTTTGACGTCCAAGATGTTTGTGTAATGAACACATAAATCTTGGCTACAAACACACACACGTTGTCTGATCTCATGCTTGAGTTTACCCCAGGCTTGTGTTAGTATACATTGAGAGGCGTAAACGTTACATGTACGATCTTGCCGGATACTTTCTTATAGCTGGGCATGTTCTTGGTACTTTATTGTAACAGGAATAAAAACCTGTTGTAAGAAAACGTTCTCTTCAACCGCCTGTTTTGTGAATTATATTGAAGTCTTGTAAGCTAAGCAGAAGATTACTGAACTCGTGTAATCTGCCGCTAAAAGAGGTAAAGCTGTGTGTCTCTGGTGACTTTTGTACCCGATTTCATAATTTATGTTTTTAAATAACGTCTAGTGTACAAAAGATCCATAATTACTTAGTATGTATACTGGTACATTTAGTATACAAAGTATCTGCGAAGATCACATACCTAAGGCGTTTATTAACATCTCTGATAAATATCAGGTATGCAGATCATTGCTTTCATGCAGCTTCCATAGAGTTCCTTCGTTTCTTAACTGCATTCTTGGCAGGAAGGATTCATAAAGGCTTAACAATTTTACCCGCAGTAACTTCCGTCACGATTTCAATTGCAGAGCGGAAACTTATGTGCAGTCTACGGGAATAACGCAGAATATTTTATTTAGAGCTTTCAAAATAAAAGTCGGCGGAATTTACACCTGACATTTCATTACAAACCTGCTTATAAACTGATTGTTAAGACTGCGGGACATATAATCTTTTTTGAACGTTTGATGCCGTCGTTTATTGAAAATATGAATAATTATTTTTCTCACCTATTTTAGGTAGAAAATTGTGTGTGGATTTAATTTTTATTTGTTAAAAAACGTTTACTATATTCATTACCTTATACCATCACAAATCTCACCTGAATATATTCTACTCAACCCTATTTTTAAATCCACTATAAAAATATTGCATAGATTCTCTATTTCTCGCAGAGAATAAACCAAGACAAGGCGTACGTTGACCCTGAACGGCTGCTTCGCAACGTCACGATGTTGATGGACTCTAACCCCATCCGCACGGCGCTGGAAGTGTGCAAACAACTCGTGTCAGAGTCCGTATACGCGGTGATTGTGTCGCACCCTTTGAACGGGGACCTGTCTCCGGCTGCCGTATCCTACACCAGCGGCTTCTACCACATCCCTGTCATCGGCATCTCTTCCAGGGACAGCGCTTTCTCTGATAAGGTAAGATAGGTTGTCAGAGTAGAGATTAGTTTAGTTTAATGTTTCTTTTTGTAGTTGTTCGGTTTAATCTCGATTGGAAAAATACGTCACTGCCTCATACACCAGCGGCTTGTACGACATTACTGTCATCGCCTTTTCGTCCAAGCAGAGCGCCTTTTCTGATAAATTAAGCGAATTTTTTTGGTTTTATTTTAGTTTTATCGTGTATCGTGCCATTTTGCTCTGGTTTTGTTTCGTATGCATGTCTGCGTCAAGTCGATAAGTATATTTTTTTATCAGGGACTTTTATTTGTTGTCGTAAGTTGTCCTATTATTTCAATCTGATTGATTTAGTGATATTGTTCAACTTTAGATAGATTTTTCATATTATTTATTTTCCTGCATCACAGTGTAGATTTTCCTTTCCAAACGTTTGTGCTAGTCACCGGCTAGCTTCTGATGAGACAGGACCAGAATGTATTTGTATACGATGAATGGAAGAATGCTTTTTTTTTGGCTATTCATTCTCCACGTAAGGTGATTTTTTTAGCAGTTTTATCTTATCTTCTATCATATTCTCAATGATGTTTTGCGTGGTCCAGAACATCCCCATTTTTATAAGTTTATCTCTTTCTTCATCATCATGTTATATCAAGTCCTGAGTGATTCATTGAGTGCTTCAGGACATCCACGTATAAGAGGACTTATTTATATTATTTGTTATTCTATCATATTCCTAATGACGTGTCACATGGGCCACAACATCTACGTGCAACTATCCTTAATGATGTGGTGCGTGATCTAGACCGCCCTAGTAAGTTGACTCAACTTTATCTTATCTTCTATATCATTTAATGATATATCGCGTGATTAAGAACATCCACATGTAACTGTCCTTAATGATCTGGTGCGTGCGTTATCTAGATGCTCGCTCTTGTAAGTTGACTCAACTTTACCTTATCTTATATCATATCTTTTGCTCATTTATTTGAGTGAACAGGCCTATTGCTGTATTGCTGGTCATCAAGGGGGATTAAAGGATCTTATATAATATCTTTTAATGATATATCGCATGGTGCAGAACATCCACGTATCGTTCCTGCGGACGGTGCCGCCGTACAGCCACCAGGCGGACGTGTGGGTGGAGCTCGTCAAGACGTTCCAGTACTCGCAGGTGATCTTCGTGCACTCCTCTGACACCGACGGCAGGGCGCTGCTCGGTCGCTTCAGGAACAACGCCCAGAACCACGAGGACGACAAGGACATCAAGGTAATCTTTTTATTATGAATAGCATACCAAGTTTTATGAAGAAATCGAGGTGGATGCTTGTTTTGCGTGGTGCTTAGGATATCAAATAACGCTCAGAACCACGAGGACGACAAGGACATCAAGGTGGCTGAATTTTTTTTATTATGAATAGCATACCAAGTTTTGTAAAGAAATCGAGGTGGATGCTTCTTTTTGCGTATTTTTTTCTCTTGCTTATGATATCAATTGCCCACAAACGCGAGGAAGACAAGGACTTCTAGGAACGCGCATTTTTGTGTATTATAATGCAAAACATTATGCATAGAGTATTATGAATAATGCGTTATATGTGCTTAGGATTCCAAAGATTGCCCACAGATACTACTAGCGAATCAAAAAATGCGCATCGTTGCGTGTGTTTTGTGACCTCCAACGCTTATTCGTCCCAAGTTTGTTGACGATGCGTCTCATTGTATTTACGGATGAGAATGATATCTATTGGTAGTATGGCAATCACAGTGGAAGCCTGTGGGAGATCGAGGAATTCTTCTATATTAATATGATACCAATTCTTGAGTGGGTGCCTCAAGTTCGTCTACGTGTCTAACAGGAAAGGGCACTTCTTATAATCTTTGCGTATAGACAAGATGTTAAGTTGATGAAGGCATCAGTGTTGGTGTATAATTTTTTTCTTCGTATAGATTGGATTGAAGGTTTCATAAAATAATCGTCCAAAGTGCTGCACTGGTAACTGTAGTAGGAATATTATATTAAGTTCGGTGAAAGCATCAACGAAAGTACAGGTGGAGATGATGATCGAGTTTGGTAGTTACTAACACTATTCTGTACTCACCATACAAATCTATAACTTACTTGATGGTACAGGTGGAGATGGTGATCGAGTTCGATAGTTACTAACACTATTCTGTACTCACCATACAAATCCATAACCTACTTGATGGTGCAGGTGGAGATGGTGATCGAGTTCGAGCCTGGCCTGAACGAGTTCGTGGACCACCTTAGTGAGTTGTTATCCTCTATGCAGAGTGAGTTGTTATCCTCCTCTATGCTGAGTGAGTTGTTATCCTCCTATATGCAGAGTGAGTTGTTATCCTCCTCTATGCAGAGTGAGTTGTTATCCTCCTCTATGCAGAGTGAGTTGTTATCCTCCTCTATTCAGAGTGAGTTGTTATCCTCATCTATGCAGAGTGAGTTGTTGTCCTCCTCTATGCTGAGTGAGTTGTTATCCTCCTCTATGTTGAGTGTGTTGTTATCCTCCTCTATGCAGAGTGAGTTGTTATCCTCCTCTATTCTGAGTGAGTTGTTATCCTCCTCTTTGCGGAGTGAGTTGTTATCCTCCTTTATGCTGAGTGAGTTGTTGTCCTTCTCTATGCTGAGTGAGTTGTTATCCTCTTCTATGCTGAGTGAGTTTTTATCCTCCTCGATGCAGAGTGAGTTGTTATCCTCTAGTTGTTATCCTCCTGTGCGCTTAGCGACTCAATTTCATAGTGCAGTTGATTACAGTATATGCTAAGCTCCTAAGTTTGTTATGATTATTTCGTTTTGTGTTTAATTGGGTGTTGCGAGTTGTTATCTATGAATTTAGTACCTCTTTCAGTAAATTATTGACTTACGTTACTGATAATTATTCTGTTCATCCTCAGCAAATTATTCACTTTTTGAAAAAATTAACAAATTAGCACTTTTTGAAATTTTGCTAATCTGAAAAAATTAGCACAATTTGAAATTTTGCTAATTTGAAAAAATTAGCACTATTTGAAATTTTGCTACATTGAAAAAATTATCGCAATTTGAAATTTCGCAAATTTGAAAAAATTAGCACAATTTGAAATTTTGCTAATTTGAAAAAAGCACTATTTGAAAAATTCCCAAAGCAATTTTTTTACTTAGGCCTCAAAAATAAAATTTATTTTCCCCCTCAGCAAGCAAGACGCCGCTAAGATCATCCACGACGCGTCCTATGAAAAAATTAACACTATTTGAAGAATTCCAAAATCAAATTTATTTTACTCAGGCCTCAAATAAATTTTTTTCCCCCCGCAGCAAGCAAGACGCCGCTAAGATCTTCCACGACGCGTCCTACTTCAACATGACCGGCCAGGGCTACGTGTGGATAGTCACCGAGCAGGCGCTCTCCAGCAAGGGCGTGCCCGTGGGCACCGTGGGCCTCAAGCTCGTCAACGCGTCTAACCAAGACGCTCACATCACCGACAGCTTGTAAGTAAAAAAATGTACCTATTCACTTAATAATTAGTTTGTAAGTCAACAAAAAAATGCTTATTTAATTTATTAATTAGTTTGTAAGTCAACAAAAAAGTGCCTATCTACTTAAATAAACAAGTTGTAAGTCAACAAAAACGTGCATATTTACTTTAATAATTAGTTTGGAAGTCAATAAAAACGTGGCTATCTACTTGAACAATTAATTTGTAAGTCAACAAAGATGTGCATATTCACTTTAATAATTAATTAGTAAGTCAAGAAAAAACGTACCTATTTACTTTAATAATTAGTTTGTAAGTCAACAAAAACATGCATATTTACTTTAATAATTAGTTTGTAAGTCAACATGAACTTGCTTATTTAATTCAATAATTAATTTGCAAGTCAACAAAAATGTGCTCATTTACTAAATTTGTAAGTCAACAAAAGTGTGCTCATTTATTATAATAATTAATTTGCAAGTCAGCAAAAACGTGCCTTTTTTTAATAATTAATTTTTGTGTCAATAAAAACGTTCCTATTTACTTATTCCTTACGTTCTTCATTAAACTTAACGTGCTTTGTAACTCCTAATGCAATGAAGTTACAAGATGATAATATAGATTATAGATGATGATTATCATTCATTGATAACATTCATTACGTATGATATACACCTTTAATTTCTCACAAGCGGTATCAGTTATAAAAATGATATCATAGATTTATTATAGATGATGATTATCTGTCATTGATAACATTCATTACGAATGATATACTACACCTTTAATTTCTCACAAGCGGTATCAGTTATAATTATAGGCTCCTCATATTTCTTCCACGCACTATATAAGTTATTTATGACCAATAGAGGTCAATTATGTAAATACCCTCCTAAATCTTAAATCTTGAATAAATTTCGATGGTAAATTTTTCGCTTAAAAACATGGGCAAATAAAGTAGCGTGTATTTCTTAGTAGCACGTTTAAGAATAAAGGCTAAAACCAAAAAAGTTGCATAAAACATTTTACTGAATAAAAGTTATAGCTAAGTTATAAGTTAATTAGTTAGCTATAACTAAGTTAGTTATAGCTAAGTTATTCATCTAGGACTTTTATTCAGTAAAATGTTTTATGCAACTTTTTTGGTTTTAGCCTTTATTCTTAAACTTAGTAGCGCGTGTCTTGAGTGGTTAATATGTCCTCAGATACGTGTTGGCCGTGCAATGTACGTGTAGCTAGAAGTATGTTAGTATTGGTTGGCAAAAGTTGTTCATTTAAGCAGGTTTCATTGAAGACCAGAATGATTGATACGTTTCGAATGATTGATACATTCGCAACGTTGTTAAAGAATTAAAAATGTCTATCGGTACTCTGATTTTCGATTTACCAGTGCCAACGAAAAATGTTGTTTGATCTATTGAAAAAACTAATAAGAAAATTCTCAATTAAACAAATTCTCTGGTCTTCAATGAAACCTGCCTAGAAGTATGTAGGTACATGGATCTACAAGTATGTAGGTACGTGGATCTAGAAATATTTCTCATGTATATCTGAGTTGTATGGTTGCCCTGCCCGCAGGTATGTGTTGGCGGGCGCTCTAAAGAAGCTGCACGAGAAAGAGAACACCACCAACAGTCCCCCTAAGGACTGCGATAACACCGGCAGCCATTGGGAGACTGGCAAGGTTTTGTTCAAGTAAGGCGTTGGTCCTCACTACTTTAGGGATAATTTATTAACTTTATTTCAATACGACGAAGCAGTTTTGGTTCTTTTTTCGACGTTATTTGGGAACATTTATTAGCTTAATTTCAATATGATATCGCATTTTAGGTTAATTGTTCAATCACTGGAAATGAGATATTCGGCGTCTTGACTCATCCTAGCATTTGACATTCTAATTCGCACAAATAGCAATCATCCATGTCGCTGTCATCCCGTTTCTGCTATTTATTTTCGTCTAATCGTGCACACGGTCTTCTGCCGTATGATCTTCATACAGGGTGCATTATGAAAGTAATGAGCATATTCTGGCAAATAACATTTATTGATCGCAATTTGTACAAATGTTCAATATTCTTCAAAATACATTGCTCCTGCATCAATACACTTGCGGAGACGTGCTTGCCACGCCTGAAAGGCACCCTGGAACTCCTCCACGGGAATGCCTCTCAGCAACGTTGTAACGTGGTGTTGCATGTGGAAAAGGCTGAGTTTACAGTTTGTCCTTGCGGTACAAACTCACAATGGACTATTCATCGGATGTTAAAGAAGACAATGATCAACGTTTTGATCGCAAAACTTCGCACACACGATCCACGTTCTCTTCAGTTTGGGTTGTTGTTTGGGCGTCCTGAACGGGGTTCGTCGGCGACCTCCTCCCGGCCCACCTCGAACGCCTTGTGCCACTTCCCAGATTGTGATCTTAAAAAGGCAGTCGTCCTTGAAGGCTTCTTGCAGCATCTGCATGGAATGTTTCGGTTGCATTATTCCAAGCCTCACGCAGAACACACTTCGCGCGGAGGCTCGTTTCACCGTTCATACTGCTTGAACTCAACCGACGACCGGATGCACTGAAAGGGCATATCCCCCACCACATTCCCCAGCCGGTTTGACCGCGCCGCCATCTATCGTCGCGTCACAATAACATCATGCTCATTGCTTTCATAATGGACTCTGTACCTCTTGACGAGGTATACCGAGGATATAATAGCCGGTTATAGCACAGCTGCGTTACAGATACATCCAGAACGAGGTGTTGGAGAACGGACTCACCGGGAAGGTGGCGTTTGACGAGAGCGGTGACCGCATCAACGCGGAGTACACCATCATCAACATACAGGAGGATGAGTCATCACACACCAAGCGCAAGGGCGTTCCTGTCGGCGAGTTCATCTATAATAAGGTACGAAGTGGGGTAATACGGTACGAAGTGGGGTAATAAGGTACGAAGTGGTTATGAGAGTCATATATGGGGTAATATGGTGCGTTGTTGGTATATGGGGTAATAAGGTACGTCGTGGGGTAATACGGTACGAAGTGGGTATGAAGAGTCATATGATATGGAGTAATTAGGTACGTTGTTGGTATATGGGCTAATATGGTGCCTTGTTGGTATATGGGGTAATATGGTGCCTTGTTGGTATATGGGGTAATATGGTGCGCCGTGGGTATATGGGGTAATATGGTGCGTCGTGGGTATATGGGATGATATGGTGCGCCTTGGGTATATGGGGTAATATGGTGCGTCGTTTTGCCTAAAGATTGCCTAAAAAAGTACAAGCTTGGTGATTGCCTAAAGATTGCCTAAAAAAGTACAAGCTTAGTGATTGCCTAAAGATTGCCTAAAAAGTACAAGCTTAGTGATTGCCTAAAGATTGCCTAAAAAGTACAAGCTTAATGATTGCCTAAAGATTGCCTAAATATCACAAGCTTAGTGATTGCCTAAAGATTGCCTAAAAAAGTCCAAGCTTTGTGATTGCCTAAAGATTGCCTAAAAAGTACAAGCTTAGTGATTGCCTAAAAAAGTACAAGCTTAATGATTGCCTAAAAAAGTACAAGCTTAATGATTGCCTAAAGATTGTCTAAATATCACAAGCTTAGTGATTGCCTAAAGATTGCCTAAAAAAGTCCAAGCTTTGTGATTACCTAAAGATTGCCTAAAAAGTACAAGCTTAGTGATTGCCTAAAAAGTACAAGCTTAGTGATTGCCTAAAAAAGTACAAGCTTAATGATTGCCTAAAAATTGACTTATAAAAGTACAAGCTTGGTGATTTCGCTAAAGATCTTACGATACCGTCATTAATGTTGAACATTTAGTTTCTGTATGATCATCAATGACGTTTTTTACGCATTCGGTGCCAAAGCTAAACTATTCATAAACTTATGACCAACACGTATATACGTAATTCACGTTGAAGAAAAGTTTTTCCTGAACGTTCTTATCCTAATTTGAACTAGAGCTTCGTTGGAAACATTACTAGACTCGCCACATCACCAGACTTGCCACATCACCAGACTTGCCACATCATCAAACTTGCCACATCACCAAACTTGCCACATCACCAAACTTGCCACATCACCAGACTGCCACATCACCAGACTTGCCACATCACCAGACTTGCCACATCACCAAACTTGCCTCATCACCAGACTTGCCACATCACCAGACTTGCCACATCACCAGACTTGCCACATCACCAGACTTGCCACATCACCAGACTTGCCACATCACCAAACTTGCCACATCACCAGACTTGCCACATCACCAGACTTGCCACATCACCAGACTTGCCACATCACCAGACTTGCCACATCACCAGACTTGCCACATCACCAGACTT